ACCCCCCCCCCCCCCCCATCGGAATTTAGTGACTAAACCAAGTCAGCCATGCTTCGTCGCGTATTCAGAGCGTTTCGTATTTGTTTTCCAATAGTGCTTTTCAGATGTAAGGTGTGTTGCCGAACCGTAGGGGTATATCACCACATCTCCCCCGGGCTATTTTCACACCACTTGATACGTTCTCTCTGCGCTTCGTGATTCTTTCTCGCTTTATCCCCTTTACCTCCACCTCGTATATCTCTGCATTGAACCATTACACCCTCTTCACCCCCCGCTCTAGGTTTTTACGTTTCTGTCGGATCTCCTACACATTTTCTTCACATTCCCAAAACATTTCCCTAACCCGGCCATCACAATATGTCTTTCAAGCCCTCCCCACACTTCTTCTATGCTTCCCTCGCTCCGTTTTCTTTACGTCACACTTCTACTGGGACATCTCCTTATTCGCGATCGTCGTGCTTGGTGAAATCCTTCTTTATCTCCCCCATGCTCCTTCGGATGATCTCATCCATATCTCCTACACCTCTTTATTCAGTCCTCCTTCAAACCTTCTTTGGACTTCCTTTGTCACTCCTCCTCACTCCTCCTCCCACCAAGCGTGACGATCTGAGAGAAGCGTAAAGGTAACGTTAAGAAAAGGGAAATGAGAGCAAGCGTAAGGGAGGTGCAAATAAGGCTTGAAAGGGGTGTGCAGAGAACTTTATGGAGGGTTAAGGTAAGCGTTTATGATGTGCGAAGAAGATGTGAAAGTCAAAGAGAAACGTGAAAACAGAGAAGGAGAGTTGAGGGTGGAAATCGAGGGGGTGAAGAGGTTGTAAAGGTGGTATAGTGGAAGTGGGGTGAAAATATATTGATGGGCTTTGAAGGAACAACGAGTCAATATGATGGTTCTACTTGTGGAAATGAAACTAGAAGGAAAAACGCGTTAGAGAGGGGGGGGGGCAGAATAAGTAGAAAACAAGAAAATAGAACAGAGAGTGAGAATGATAGAGAAGGAAGAGAAAGAAAATAGATAATAAAAAAGGGAAGACAAAGAAGTGAAGATTAGACAGACGGGAAAGATTCCAAAGATACAAAAGCAAATAGGGAAACGAATAAAATAGGAAATGTGAAGAGTGTAGTAAATGAGAAGTGGATAAAGAAAGTGAAGGAGTGAAGTGTAGATTGGGGAAGATGGAGAAGGAAAAATATTTAGAAGATGAGAGAGTTTACAAAGGGTAGAGACAAAATACAGTAAAACGAAGCGGAATGCGCGAAGTCGATAAGCGGAAGCAGAAGGGGAAGGAAAGAAGGAAGAGTGAGGAGAGCCAGGTATGTAAGAAGAACAGAAAAATCGAGTAAAGAGTAGCCGAAAAGGAGAAGGGCGACGACTAGAAAATGGAAATACGGAAAGAAGGGTAGTAGAAGGACTGTAGTGTGTAATGGTAAACAAGAATAAGAAGAACGGGAAAAATATTTAGAGGAACAAAGGGGTTTAGACAGAGGAAAAAAATGAGAAAGGATTTCATAAGGAGAACGAAGAGTGTGAAGCAAGAAAGGGAAGGAAGAAAAGAGAGGTGTGGAGAATGAGTCACGGGTGGGAAAAAGAAGGAAAGTAGAAGGAAAAGGACGGAATAGAAGAAAGTAAAAGAAGGAAAGTAAGCGCATATAAATAAACGAAAATAGGAGTTGATATATGGGGTGCAGCGGAAGGAGGGAATGTACTAAAGAGGGGAAAAGGAGAACAAAGAGAAGAAGAAACATTATATTGCTGAAAAGAGAAGCAAAATGAGAGAATGGTGAACATTGAAAAGAGGTAACTGCGGAATGATGAACGGAAAGATACTGGTGAGTACACAGGGTAGGGAAAGAAAGGGATAAAGTGGGAGGAGATAGAAATGCGTTTAGAGAACTTGAAGAAGATAAAGAATGGAGAGTAGAGGGAAAGATAGAGAATAAGGTGATGGGAGTAATACCAAAGAAGAAAAAGTGATAAGGTTGAGGAGGTGACAGAAAGTGAAAGAATATGGAGGATAGAAAGTGAAAGTTGGAGAGATCGTTATGTATATGGAAAGGGGACAAAGAAATGAGGTAGGGATAAGAACTGAGAAGGAAGGTGGAAGAAAAACGAAAGGGGCCAAGAAAAAAGAAGGGAGAGGACAGAGCAGAAAGTGGGAATGATTAGAACGAAAAAAAACATATAATAAAAAGGGAGAAGAGAAAGAAGCGAAGATTTGTGAAAAGAAATAAACGAGTGATGATGGGAAAGACCAGGGAGGCTAGGAAGGTAAGAATCGAGAAGAAGGCGGAAAAGAAAAAAACAGAGAACGGGGTCCAAGGTTTAAAAAGGGTGTAGTGGAAGACAAAGACGAGAAAGAACTAAAGACAAAAGAGGAATGTAAAAAAGTAAACCAAAAAATTGCAGTAGATGAAAAAAACGTGATGGGTGTGGAGGAAAGGGGAATGATAACGAAGAACGGAACGAAGGGCCAAGAGAAGAAAAAGGTTTAGAAAAAAGGGGTGTAGAAGGAAGAGGTAAAAAATAAAGAAGTGAGGCCAAGAAGAGGAAGAATAAGGAAAAAAGGGTAAGGTAGAGTAAGAATGAAAGAACAGAGTGAGTAAAAGTAAAAGAAGGTAAAATGAAAAGGGGGGTCAAAAAGAAGGAAGTCGAAGGTATGTGAGGAGAAGAGGAAGAATGGTAGTAAAATGGAGAAAGCGAAAAAAGGATGAAAAAAGGGAAAGAGGAAAAGGATCAGAGATCTAGAAGACGTTGAAAAGGGAAAAGGAAGTGGTGTGAAACAAATGAAGCTTCAAAGCGACGTAAAGAAATTTGAAAAGAAAATAAAGAGAAAGAAGCTAAAGAGGGTTGTGAAGTGCGTATGGTAGGGTGGGTGTGCAATTAATAGTTTACATTCATTTTTCTCGTTTCTAGTGCCAAACAATCAAAACAAGTGCAATCTGTGGGTGGTATTTCGAACTTGTAACGATTGATAATTTACTATCACCGCCATCTAGCGGCATTTACGTCAACTTTCTAACTAATTATAAACACAAAGGTTGCGCATTTGGTGCGCGTCTTTTTGTGTTGATTGTTTAATTCTCGAGTCAATGTCCAACGATTGCATCTGTAAACAAATAAAGGTCAGTGATAAGTAGCAGTTGTTTACACTGGCACTCCGTTTCAGTAGTTAGTGTGCGAAATGTGGCGATTTTTACTGGTACTATCCTCCGCAGTATGCATAAACTGCAAGATTGTGCCAATCACAAACCATGTACCAATGCAACCCGAGCAGGTGCACATAGCGTACGGCGATAGCGTTTACGAAATAGTCGCGACCTGGTCGACGGTCGGCGACACAAAGGAATCTATCGTCGAATACGGCACCGGTTTTCAATCTTTGAACTACACGGCCGCCGGCTCCTCCAGACTCTTCACCGACGGAGGTCGCAAGGGACGTTCCCAATACGTTCACTCGGTCACCCTGAAGAACCTTCGACCTTCTACCGTGTACGGTAAGCGAAATGAGATCGCGCGGCTGCTATTTACGTTTTTTCAAACAGTGTACCATGTGGGTAGTCGATTTGGTTGGTCGAACGAGTTTCTGTTCAGGACGCCACCTGTCGTCGAACGCTGGCAACCGAGCTTGGCGATTTTCGGCGATATGGGCTTGGAAAACGCGCAGTCCTTGGCGAGGTTGGAGGAGGATACGCACCGAGGCATGTACGACGCTATTTTACATGTCGGGGATTTCGCGTACGATATGAATTCGGTAAGGTATACTTAATTGGCCGCTAGATGGCGGTAACCGCATCCTTTATTGATCACTTCCAGAAAAATGTGTTTATAGATTTGCGAACGTGTTCTCTTGAATGTGTCCATTTATAACCACGTAGAGGCCTTATTAACCTCCGGGGGAAGGGGTGATTTTTATCATTCCTCTTCCTCCCACCACAAATCTCTCACACGCGCCTAAAATAGAAAAGTGGCAGTTCTGTTCATTTTCATCCCTAAATGGAGGGGAATGGGTAATAGCTGTCCATCGTTTAAATAAGAGTTTAAGTAAGAGAGCAAGTACTTTTGAATAATCGTTTCTTTTGGGGGTGATCTTCCCCACTAACATGGAGTTGCTTCACAAAAATTTGTCAGTTCGTGTAAGTGGAAAACATTTTTTAATTGAGGAGGGGGTGTAAGGGGTGCAGCAGGCTCTTTTGCATATAAGGGGTTGAACTTCCCTTCTTGAAACACTATTTTGACTTTCTAAGTGAACTTGAAAATGTTTTAGTAATTAACGGAGTTGCCTTTTGGAAAAACTTCTTCAGCGGATTTTCAGAAACCGCAAATGTTTTTTTTTAATCCTGCCGTTTGAGAATTAGAGCAAGCCACAATTTTAGCTCGAAGTAAAGCTAAAATTTTGAACCACGTACTAACTACGTCGTGACCCAAAACCGAACACATCCCAAAAATCTCTTCGCAAGGATCCCTACCATAGACAAAATGGCTTCTTATCAATGACTCGCCCTTCTTTACTTTTCGATTCGATTTCTTTATTTCTGCACTACCAATTAAATAAAATTGTACTTTCCACGATACTGAAATGATCTCGTGCTCATTTTGTGGTTTGGAGTAGATGAGACTAAATTAAGAAACCCGCTTTAGCTCCAATTACAACCGCATCTCGTCTCCAAACAACAAAAACAATGCTCTAGAGAAATCAAAAACGCAGAAAGGAGAATGTTTGATTCCACCAAATACAAATTTACTCTCTTAATTTCAACACCCTGTAAACCCTTGAAACCTAAAAAAATTGCAACTTTACCTATCTCTATAAAAATATCAATAAATAAATCCAAATTTAGAGCTACCGTTACAAGGAGAGACATTTTTAAGTTTTTGTTTCTTCTGGAGTTGTTTTTCTCACAAACAGGAAACAGTTGCAGTTACTCTCAATGGAACATGTGAATATTGTTTTAAAGTTGATGGATTAAGCACCATGCAACGATCATCCATAGAAACCCATCTTTTAAAATAGGAAAGGGGGTGGTAACAGGAAACGGGTACTTTTGAATGATCATTTTTTCGGTGGTTTTAGCGAATTTTTCAACGAACAAGTAAGGCTGACTGCCCCTAATTTAGTATGGGCACGCTTTTCAGCCGGCGATCGCGAAAACTAACCGGCGCAACCGCCATTTTCGTGTTGTCTACAGTATTTGAGGAGACACCACTTCCACCATCAAATAAGCTCCTCCAGATAAAACACGTGCGTTAATAAATTTTCGCCTGAGAACGAATCTTCTTATCGCAAACGACCAGATGTGTCTTACTTCTAACGCCTCATCTAAATTGAATAATTTCCAAAAGCGACAAATTTAAGCAAGAAAATTACCCGTTTACGAAATTTTTAAAAGTAAAGACAGCACTGAGATAGAAATTCAAATAGAACAAACTAAATCTGTGCTTTTTTTGGTTTTTTGTGGGTGTTTTTTCCACATACTGGAGACACTTCACCCCAATGGCAAATGAGATCATTTGGAATGAATGGATAAAACACCAAGAATTCTCCAATTGTCCCAAGAATCCCTCAAATGTGGAAGGGTATTTCGTATTTTCGTTTCCTATGGGGTGGTTTTTCCACTTAATGGATATCTGCTCGCAAGGAGAGGGAAGGACAATTTTCATTTTTTTGGGTGTGGTTTTCCCTCACAGTTAGTAGGCAGTTGCTCAGATAAACCACTTCAAATTTTGTGTACGCAAACATTCTAAAAGAAATTCTATGAAATTCTACAAAAATTCTAGAAAATTCTAAAAAAGTTATAAAATAATAATTACGTGTGCGTGTGCGTTCGGAAAAAATTCCAAATAATTCACGAAAAGCTCTAAAAATTCTAAATAATTCAAGAAAAGTTCTAAAAAGTTCCACAAAATTCTCTCGAAAATTCTAAAAAATTTTAAAATGTTTTTAAAATTCTAGAAACTTCTTCAAAATGCCAGTAGTGTACAGCAAAATTCTACAGTGATTTTTCCCTTGGGGTAAAACACTTCAAATTTTGTATACGCTAGAAATGCTAAAAGAAATTCCAAGAAATTTTTAAAAAATCCTAGAAAATTCTAAAAAATGTATAAAATAATGATTACGTATGCGTGTGCCTTCGGAAAAAATTCTAGAAAATTCAAGAAAAGTTCTAAAAAAACTAAATAATTTAAGAGAAGTTCTAAACAATTCTAAAAAATTCTAAAAAAAAATGTGAAAGTACCTGAAAAATTCTAGAAAATTCTACAAAATTCTAACAAATTCTAAAAAATTCTAGACAAATCTAAAAAAGTGTTAACGTACCTAAAAATTAATTCTAGAGAATTAAAAGCTAGTAGTGTACGCCAAAATTCAACAGTGATCTTCCCTTCCGGTAAACTACTTCAATTTTTGTGTACACTAAAATTCTGAAAGATCTAGAAAGTTTTAAAAAATGTATAAAAATAATTACATGTGCGTGTGCGTTCGAAAAAAGTTATAGAAAATTCAAGAAAAATTTAAAGAAATTTTTAAATAATTCAGGAAAAGTTGTAAACAATTCTAGAAAGTTCTAAAAAATTTCCAAAATATTTTAAAAATTCTACAAACTTCTACAAAATGTCAGTAGTGAACAAAATTCTACAGTGAATTTCTCCTTAGGGGAAACCACTTCAAATTTTGGGTACACTAATAGAAAGTCCAAGAAATTCTAAAGAATTCTAGAAAAATCTAAAAAAATGTTAAAGTACCTAAAAATAAATTCTAGAAAATTAAATGCTAGTAGTGGACGCCAAAATTCACAGTCATTTTCCCCTCCGGTAAACTACTTCAATTTTTGTGTACACTAAAATCCTAAAAGGAATGCCTAGAAATTCTAAAAAAAATTCTAGAAAATTCTAGAAAATGTATAGAATGATAATTATGAGTGCGTGTACGTTCGGAAAACAATTTTAAAAACTGTTTAAATAATTCAAGAAAAGTTTTAAAAAATTCTAGAAAATTTTTAAAAAATTCTAAAATATTTTACCACTTCTAGAAACTTTTACAACATGCCAGTAGTGTACAGCAAAATTCTACAGTGATTTTCCCCTTAGGATAAACCACTTCAAAGTTTATGTACACAAAAATTTTAAAAGAAATTCCAAGAAATTCTAAAAAAATTCTAGAAAATTCTCAACAAATTTTTAAATTTTTTAAAAATTCTAGAAACTTCTACAAAATGCCAGTAGTGTACAGCAAAATTCTACATAAACTTTCACCGTGGGGTAAACCACTTTAAATTTTGTGTAAGCTAGAATTCTAAAAGAAATTCCAAGAAATTGTAAAAAATTCGAGAAAAAAAATGTATATAATAATAATTACGTGGGCGTGTGCGCTCGGAAATTTTTTTAGAAAATTCAAGAAAAGTTCTATAAAAAAATAAATAATTCAAGAGTTCTAAAAAATTCTAAAAGTGTTAAAGTACTTAAAAATTTTACAAAATGCTAGTAGTGTAGTGTGTACGCCAAAATTTGACAGTGATTCTCCCCTTCGGTAAACCACTTCAAATTATGTGCACACTAAAGTTATAACAGAAATTTCTAGAACTTCTGAAAAAATTCTAGAAATTCAAGAAAAGTTCTAAAAAAATTAAATAATTCAAGAAAAGTTTAAATAATTCTAAAATATTTTAAAAATTCTAGAAACTTCTACCAAATGCCAGTAGTGTACAGCAGTAGAATTCTAAAAGGAATTCCAAGAAATTCTTTAAAATCCTAGAAAATTCTAAAAAATGTATAAAATAATGATTACCTACTTGGGCGTGTGCGTTCGGAAAAAGAATTCAAGAAAAGTTCTAAGAAATTCTAAAAAAAATTAAAAAATATTTCTATTTCTTGATTTCTTGTGGAGTGATATGTTTCCCTTGCGGAGGCAGTTGCTCCTAATGAAAAATGTAAATACTATTTTAAAGTTCATGGGTAACACGCTATACAACTTATTTTGTAACTGAAAGGGGGGGGGGGGGTTATTTAAGGAGAGCTACTTTTGAAGAAATATCAGCTTCTTATGGAGGTCGTTTTTTCATATTTTTACGGAAATAGTTGCCCCAGTGAAGAATTTAAATATTGATTTTAAAATTCATGGGTAAACCATCTCATCACTGTCGTTATATCTATGGCTACCCGTCTTTGATTGAAGAGAGAGGGGTGGGGGTATTGTATAAGGAGAATTGTCCCTTTCGTATGTGGGTGGTTTCCATTACGTACGCCCGATGAAAAATGTTTTTTTCCAAAATTCTCTCACTATTGTCTATAACACTGTTCCCATCGCCCTTCTAGAAATACCCTTCTCTTTCAAATCTTCCCTATATATGGAAATCCTCGTCTCCAAAATATTTCCTCTCTCTCTCTCTGAACCAACCCAAAATCCGAATTTTTCGGATTTTTTCGGAAACCTCGGAATATTCTTTAGATTTTCAACTTTCCGAAGTCTTTTACTCGAACTTCCTGCATCCTTTCAAAAAAATGTTCTCAAAAGCTATAATATTACTGAAGATCTTCACGAATTTTTCCTGAAATCTTTATCATTTATTAGTGTATGAATCTTTAATTGTTATAAATGTGGGAATGTTTGTCTTGCTGACCAACACTGTCACTGAGTACGTTCAATTTAGGTAGACTTTTACTCGCATTTAACTGTTGTCAGTCCGTGCGTGGGGGAGTGCCACATGGTTCCCACTTTGTACCTGTGTTATTTTTCTTATCTCTATTTTTGCATTGATGTATTCTTTCAGCATAATGGAGTCGTCGGGGACAAGTTCATGAAACTAATCGAGCCGATTGCCGCCTACGTGCCATACATGACGTGCGTCGGCAACCACGAGGAGCGATAGTACGCAATTTCCCCCCTGATGACTCCGCCACTGACCGCTTTCGTTTCAGTAACTTCAGCCATTACAAAATGCGCTTCAACATGCCCGGCGATACTGAGAATCTAATGTTCAGCTTTAACATGGGCCCCCTACACATCATCTCGATTTCGACCGAGGTCTACTACTTCCTAAACTACGGCATCAAGTCCCTGGTGTTCCAGTACGAGTGGCTCGAGAACGATCTCAGGGAGGCGACCGATCCGAAGAACCGAAGGGAACGGCCGTGGATCATCGTGATGGGCCATCGTCCGATGTACTGCAGCAACACCGATCCGGCGGATTGCGCGCATAACAGCACCTTTACGCGGGTCGGAATCCCCTTCTTTCACATGTTCGGCTTGGAGAAGCTCTTCTACGATAACAAGGTCGACGTGCTCATCTGGGCGCACCAGCACTCCTACGAGCGACTGTGGCCCATCTACGATTTTAAAATATTCAACGGTACCTACGATCAACCCTATCTCAACCCCCTCGCTCCGGTACATATCATCACCGGTTCGGCCGGCTGCAAGGAGAACCACTCGCACTTCGACAACGATAAGCCCTACTGGTCGGCGTTCAGAAGCACAGACTACGGCTATACGCGCATGAAGGCCTACAATAAGACGCACCTGTACTTCGAGCAAGTGTCCGATGATCAAGGTGGCGCTGTGATCGACTCGTTTTGGATTATACAGAACAAACGTACTTTCTAGTAATTAGTTTAATTTAATTGTGGCATAGTTTAATTTAACAGCATTGTTAACTCTAAGATTAAGTGATGAAGTAGGTAGGTAGTCATCTTTTATTAAATAAAGACGTTGTCGTTATTACTCCATCCGATAGAAGCTTTGAAAAGGTGCTGACGTTTTTGACACCACAAAAATGAAAATGTGTATTTTTTACTCCCCAAATAACAAACAAGGGTCTTGGTAAATAGAGAAATGAGTGCATATGGGGATAAGAGAGAGTGAAGTGAGAAGTGCTAAGGAGGAAGAAGAAGAAAGAAAAATATTTAAAGGGAGAAAGAGTATAAAGCAGATTCGAAAAGGTGGAGGTAAGAATAGACACAGGAGAAAGAAAGGAAAAGTAGAGGACAAGCATAAGGACGAAGTGAATGAATTAGAAAAGGAGGCAGTTAAAGGTAGAAAGTGAAGAGTAGGTACAAAGAGAATAGTGTAAGAAAATAAAGTGGAGGCACAGATTATCTGGTATGATAGAGAAAAGGACTTCAGAAAGTGTAAAGGAGTCAGGAATTGGAAAAGGGTCCAATGAAAAGGACGTAAAGAGTCAGGAGCGCGAGAGAGAAAAAAGAAAATGAGAATGGAGAAAAGAAATCAGAGTGGAAGAGAAAAAAAAGGAAACATTACACACAAAGAAGGAAAATGATTTAACGGCACGAGATTTGGGGGGAGTGAAGTCGAAAAGAGGGAGAATCTTCAAGCAGAAAGAAAAAAAATGTAAAAAAAAGCAAAGAGAAGATAATAGAGTTGGAAAAAAACAAGAAGGGGAGGATAAAGTGAAAGAAAAAAGAAAAGAATTAAGGCAATGGGGTTTAGAAGGAGGATGAGAAAATGTGACCGAAAAGAGAATTTGAGAGGGAATAGAAAAAAGGTGAGAAAGGGCGAAAAATAGGGGGAAGAAATGGGTAAGAAAAGGAAGTAGACTCCGAGAAAACGAATGTGGGCTGTGAATAAAATGAAGAAATGGGAAATTAAGATGGAGGAGGGAAAAGAAAAAAGAAGAATAGGGGAAAATTGACAAGGTACAGAAGTGTGATAGAGAGGAAAGAGGAAAGGAGCCCTGTTTACTTGTTTACTCAATAATATGCGCAATTAAAGAAACCGGACACCGGATGTATTCGAAGGAAGGAAAAAGGACATAGTTAGTGGTGGATTCAAAAATACAGAAGACGGACAAAGAAAAGAATGGTTTCAGAAGAGCAGAAGAGGAAGAAAACGGCGTGGAGGGTTGAGATCATAAGTGAAAGGAAAAAAAGAAGGTAAATGGAAAAAGGAGTGAAGAGAACAGCAGCGGAAGTGGTAAAGACAGATGTAAACAGATAGCTATGGGGTGAGAGGGAAGAAAGGAAAGAGGAAGTTATAAACGATGGGGCGCAGCAGAGGGTGAGTATGATAGGGATGGGAAAGAAGGAAGAGCACAGAACAAATGTTGGGAACTGCTAAACTAAGAAGAAATAAAAACATATAATCAGGAGAGAGAAAGACGTTACGACAGGAAAGAGTGAAAAACTGGAAAAGGGAATTACGTGGGGAAAAGCGAACAGGGTAGTAAGTAGAGAAGCGAATAAAAACGCAGTAAAGTCTAGAGGGTAAATAAGAAAGAAAAATAAAGGGGGAGAGGAGGGGAATTGAGAAGGACGGAGAAATACGAGAGAAAAAAATATAGAAAAGCAAAGCGAAGTGTGTGAAGTAGATGGGGAAGGAAGAAGTATAACAAGAAAAGGAAGAAGAAGGAGAATAAGGAAAACAGAAAAATGGCACGGAAAAGATGGTAAAACGAAAAGGCGCAGAAAAAGAGATAGGATATGACTAAAAAAGGGAAATGCGCAGAGGAGGCTGAACATTGTACTTAATAGAGAAGAGGGAGTATTAGAGTGTGTTAGTGAACAAGAAGAAGGAATAACGAAACTAAGAAAAAGGCGTTTAGGAAAGGGAGAGAAAGAAACAAGAAAAGATTTTCGAAGAGAGTAGAAAGTGTGAAGTAGATAGGAGAAGCAAGAAAGGGGACAGAAGAAGCAGGATGAGGAGAATGATTTGCAAGGGAAAAAAGGAAAGAAAGCAGGAAAGAACGACTACAGCAAAATAAATAGTAGAGGGTAAAGGGTGAAGCGTAAGAGGAGGGCGAAGTGGACAACAGAAACCAAAGAGAAAGAAAAAGTGAGCAATGGATAGAGGGAAAGTGAAGTGGGAGGATAGAAAAAAGGGTCTCAGAGAAAGAAGATATAGAAAGTATAAAAAGAGGAAGAAGAAAAGATGGCAGTACATAAAAAAATGTGAAGAGAATCGACGACATAGAAGAAAATGTAATAAAGAGAAACGTACAAAAGGGATAAAAGAAAGAAAAGGGTCTGGAGAAAAAAGAAGAGTAAGAAGGGGAAAATGGAGTGGGCAGGAAACCCATAGGGCGTGGATTAGAATGAAGTAAAGGAAAATGGAAGGAAATGTGGTGAGTCAAATAAAAAGATTATAAAGATGAAAGTATGAGAAGAAAAGCAAGATTGAGTGCAGAGAGATATGGAGAAACATAGTGGGACAATAAAGAAGAGGGAAGTGTGAGGAGAAGCGGGAGAACGGTGGGCAAAAATGAAAAGATGTAAAGTAAAAGAAAAAGGAAAAAATAAAGGGCAGATTTCAGAGGGGAAAAAAGACATAAAAGGTATAAGTGCGGTAATAAAAAAAAATAAAGAGAAGGGGAGAAAGGAAAAGGAAATCAAGAGAGGTAATACGAAAGAAAAGGGGGGAAAATAGGAAAAAGGAGAATAAAGGGAAGGAAAAAAAGATAGACTTGAGAGAGAGGAAAAGATAATAGACCAAAAATTGTAGAGTGTATATGTGTGAAGAGAGAGAACAAGTGAATTAGGAAAGATTGGGAAGAGAAGAGAGAAGAGAATCGAGAAAGTAAATAAAGAAGAAAAAAAAATGAAGAGGGAGTGAAGTGTAAATTGCTGAAAATGAAAAAAAGGGAAAAATATTTAGAAGGAAAAGAAGGTTTGACAAACAAAAATACGAAAAGAGTGTGAATCGAGTACAGAAAGAGAAGTAGTGGAAGGAGAAGAACGTGGGAAAGGCTAAGAATAAGATTAGGGTGCAGAGCGAAAAGTGGAAGAGAAAGACGAAAAAGGATGAAGAATGGTGAACGAAAGAAGATGAAGAAAAGACGAAGAATCTAAAGAACTAAAACAAAAATAAGAAAAAACGGAATTGACAGTAGATAAAATCGTGACGGGTGTGGACGAAAGAAAAGTGATAAAGAAGAAGGGAAAAATGGGCGAAGGGGAGGAAAAAGGTTTGCAAAAAAATGATGTATAGAATTGAAACGAAGAAGGAGAATGTGGAAGGAAAGAGAGACAGGGAGAAAATGGGCGAGGAAGAAACCTAGAGGGAGTGGAAGGAGGATAAGGTAAAATGAAATGGAGGAGGGGCGAAAAAAGAAGGAGGTCAAAGGTATGTGGGGAGAAGCGGCAATAGAAAAGGTGCATAGGAAGATGTGGAGGAAATGGAGATGGAAGTTTTAGAGGGGGAGAGAGCTTGAAAAAGATGGAATAGAAGAATGATTTGAAAGGGGGGCACACTGAGAAGATGTGAAAGAAGGTGGGAGGAAATGAAAATAGGTGCAAGAGTGGCAAGGGAAGAAAAAACGAGTGGTGGGAAGGTGCAGAGGAAGAGGTAAAGGTGACAAATGAACCTAATAAAAAAGGGGGCAGGAAAGGGAGTGTAGGAAAGAGAAAAGGAAAGAAAAGGAAGAGATGATCTTTCTTTGTAATCCCTTCTTATCAAAGAAGAGGAAAGAAGAATAGAGAATAAGGAAGAAAAAGAGGGTGGAGGGAAAATAGAAACGAGGGAGAGAGAAACAGAAGGAAAATAAAAAAAAGGGATCAAAAGTAGAAAGAAACAAAGAAAGGGATGACAGGTACAGCAGTAGAACTGATAAAGATAGATGTGGACCGAGTTAGGTATATGGAAAAAGGGCAAGAGTGACGAAAGGGACAAGAAACGCGAAGGAAGAAAGAGGTAAGAAAAAACGGAAGTAGAGCAAAGAAGAAATAAAAGAACGGAGCAGAGAGAGAGAGAGAGAGAGAGAGAGAATGATCGGAAATGAAACAAAAAACAGGTAATGAAAAAGGAGAGAGAAGGAAGTGAAGATTGGTGAAGGAACAAAAACAAATGAAGATAGGGGGACGAAGAAGATTGGAAAGATGTAGAAACTAATGAGAGACGACTAGAAAACACCTACTTGGAGAAGAGTAAACAGTGTAGCAAATGGAGAAGTGGATAAAAACTGAAAAGTATGTGTAATATAGATACATGCAAAGGAAGAAAGACAAACAAAGGGGAAATTTAGGTAGATAGAAAGAAAAGGAAAGCAAGATGGGGAGCGGACGAAGGAAGGAAAAAAAGGTACGAGTAAAAAAAGGAAAGGTAGAAGGAATTTGGGTGCAAAAAAAAATAAAAAAAGATGGGTAGAANGAGAGAGAGAGAGAGAGAGAGAGAGAGAGAGAGAGAGAGAGAGAGAGAGACTGACTGACTGACTGACTGAATTTTTTATCTAGCTCGTTTAGAATAGGTCTTAAAAGACCTCTCTTACTTCTTCACGAGCTTAAACATACAATAATAATTACATTATATATATTGTACAGTTCAAAAATGATAAAGAACAATTATTAACTAGGTAAATTAACTGAGAAAAAGAAATAGATTGCCCTACCAAAATAATACATTTGATTTGCGGGAAATGTGAATAACAATAACAACTCATACACTTTGGGTCACTAGTAATCGTTCTTGTTTAATAAGTAGTCTTTGAGTCTTTTTTTAAACACTGCAGCTGTAGTTGTGGTTTTAACGATTTCCGGTAAGTTGTTATACAGCTTGATAGCTTTCACCGTGAAGGACTGAGCATACACTTCTGTTTTATGAGTTGGGAGCACTAGGACTTTATTTTGTTGACGGGTACTACTTTGAAAAAAGGTGAACTGATCGTTTAGATACTCTGGTGTCTTGTTTTTTAGTATTGAAATTTTAATGAACAGATGAAAAATTCTGGTTTATTAAAGTTACCGTTAGCAGACGCGTGAAGAACCTCACATTTTAGATTTATGTTTACATAGATTGCCACTCCACCACCCTTTTTATTTATTCTGTCGTTCCTAAAAATTTTATATCCAGGTAAATGAAATAAACTACTGTTTAAAGCTGGTTTCAAGAAAGTCTCGGACGCTGCAATTAGATCCAACTGATTGTCTTTGAATATATTTATGAATTCCTCCCAATGGGCGACTAGTGATTCAACATTAATATGCGCGATGTTCAGATGTTTGTGACAATTTTTGAATATTGTCTTAATGTATTCGTTTGGTGGTGAATTGTTGGTATACTGATTCATAAAGTTTAGTTTTTGATATAATAGTTTGTAAATTTATGCAACGTCTGTTTAGAAAAATTCGTCATTTTAAGTTATTTAAGTTTAGCAATGTCACAAGAGGATTTTATTATTATTGGTTCACTATCTGCGGACGCTTTTACACAAAGTTGATAGTTCTTGTTGAACCAGACGTACTTTAGATTCTTTTCGCGTTGAACCAATTTCGCGTCTCTTAATAGCTTTTTGTTGTTGTAAGTTAACCTATTATTAACGTAAATATTTGATCCCTCACCGTCCAGAAAGCCTAAGTCCCGATTGGAAATTTGCCTCCTTTCCTTTTTGTACTTCTCCATTATAATATTCTTATCGATTCGCCGCAGCAGACTTACAACGATGACTCCAGGTGTTTTTGTCATTGGGTTTCCACGAGTACGGTAAACGTCGTCGATTAGAATACTATCTACCTCATGGCCTATCTTTTTAAAAACATTCTTCGCAAGTTCAATAACATTCTCGTTTCGTTGAAATGGAACACCCGCTATTTCGATTACATTAGATAGCAATTTCTGTTCCAAATTGTTGTTAAACGCATCAATCTCATTTAATTTCGTGGCGAATGTTTTTTGATGTGTGGTAATTTCATCCATCCTTTCGATGAGGGTTTTTATATTTTTGGAATTTTCTTCGATTAGTTTCGTATTCTTCTCCACTATTTCGGAGTATTGGTTCAGGGCGTGAGTAAAATCTCGATTGTTTCTGTTAATATCTTCGCGCATTAGTCTAATTTCGGCAATCAAGGAGGTAATATCATCCTTTGGGATATCCATCGCCGTATCACGACGTACCTTCGCACAACGTGCGCAAAGCCACTCTTTATCTTATGCGGTGTCGCATTTTTATTAGTTGACAGTTTTTCTCGTCTAATTGCTAGGCAACAGATTTTCATTACCT